ATTTCATTTTGCAACTAAGGCTAAAAAATAAAAAAAATCCAGGTTGCAAATTCGAAATATTAAAAAAAATGATAGATTTCAATGTATTATTATGAAATCTACCATGAAAAAAATCAGTGCGATTGTGGAAGATGCTCGGGATCGTCCAGACTAATAATTAGTTAATTTGTTTATAAGGCCATAACTTGTAAAGTATTCAACTTACCGATTCCAGATTTCGTGTGAGTTATTAGACAGTGATAAGGAATAAGAGGATGCGATGCCAAAACGTTCTAGTAATAATAACGCAGTTTATAAATGTTTAATTCAAAAGTCATAAATAATATTCTTCTGTTTATAACTTTTAATCCAATCAATATTTTTTTACGCTCGAGGGCTAGTTTTGTAGGCCTTTTGAAGACGAAAAAAAAGTACTTTACTGTTTTCTCGTGGAAATGAACGGAAAAAGTTATAAGCGAAAACGTGAATTTACGTAAAAATTATACAATTAACAACCCTGTAAACATTCTTCTCCCCATTTTTATGACTGTGGAAACTAATATGTTATTGTACATAATATTTAGCATCTATAGTGATAAATTCAGCTTGCCGAAACAAAAAGTTGCGAAATGGTCATTTCCCAACTTATTTTCCTGGCCTACTCAGACAATAACCTCAATGCACTGGGCCACAAAAATTATCAATTTTCAGTTAAAATAATAGCAAATGCCGTTGCCATCCCTTTACATTAACTCATAATAATTTTCTGCAGAAAATTTACAAATTTACTCTAGACAAAGAAATATTATGCTTTGTGTGTTTCTTTTTTGTATGTTTATCTATCTAAGAAATACATCAAACTCTCAAGACGTTCAAACGTTCTTTGAGGTACTGAGAACTTTATCCTCACATTTTTATTATTTTAGATAGACTACGAACTGCAAGCCTTAGTAACATTCTCCTTTAGCTTGCCTATAATCATTTCTTCATCCTCCTCAATAAAAGTTCTAAATTCCGGCAAGCGTTTTCTAAAGGCCGACTTGAAAGTTTCAAATAGCGATTACATAATTACATAAAATAACAATTTAATAAACCGGTTGTAAAATACACGGGTGTATTGAATCGAAAGAACACAATTGTTACCAATTAATCTTCAGTCCAAATTAAAGTTAGACAAAAAATATCTACTCCAAAGAGTGACCGCAAAAAACCTGTGATTTTCGCCCGTTTTTTCACAATTCGCAGAGAATTTAAAAAAATACCTATCGCAAATTACTTGTCGTAAAAAACTGAAATGAGCATAGCTTTTAGTATTTTGAAAATTTTAAAAATCACCCCTACTTAGCGGTTGAAAAAATGCCAAAAATGAAGAATTTCAAGTCCTAAATAGGGGTGATTTTTGAAAATTTTCAAAAAACTAAAAGCTATTCTCATCTTAATTTATTACGATGAGTAATTTGAGACCAAAATCATATTTTTATCCATTTTCTTTAGTTCTCTGCGAATTGTGAAAAAACGGGCGATTTTTGCGGTCACTCTTTGCTTCTTTTTAAGTTACCAGGTGTTTAATTTGAAATTAAAGAAAGTAATATGAAGTAGAATTAAATTATGATTAAATTTTATAATTAACAAAAAAAAACGAATTTCCATAAATTATAAAATATCTTCAAAATACGTTAAAAGGTCTTGAAAACGACGACACAAAGTGGTTTACATCCCCCACTTTGAGGGATCGTAATTGCCTAATTTTCAAATTCCGACTGAAAATTTACATTGCAATTTAAATTATCTTGTATACAAGATTTTTGTTATAACATAAATAAAGAATTAACAAATGTCATAAAAAAAAACAAAATAGGAAACGAAGATATGTTTCATTAATTACAAGAAATGCACCATATTTACGTTTCAATATCTACATATTATTTTGATAACTGAATATTAAGACCTACCTATATGATACTGATTCTATGAATAATTATGGATTGACAAAAGCAACAAAGCAGGAAATTTTCGACTCAAAGACTGTTTAGCATTACAAAACCTTGCCGACAGCACCACTCTATCATGTTATATTATAATTACCTATGTGAAAAGTATAGCGTAAAATTTAAGGGAAATATAACATTATTCAGGAAGGTTTTCGATGGAATTCGCTGAAATTTCACAACTACACACCTGTTTACAAGGAATTGCCCAATATTTCTATACGAAAAACACAAGATCGTTGATTCAAGTTTGGTGTCAAATACTATCCTTTGACTTTGAACTTTGAACTCATTGATTTCATTCAGTTGTTCATTATTCAGTGTACAATTAAACAAGAAATAATGATGTTTTCTAATGATGAGAAGTATCGTACATGTTTGTACATTTAACTTTAAATTGTTTCTAACGCTCCAGATGTGGATCTTGTCAAAATTTTCTTGTATTAAGAAATATTAGAATAATTAATAAGGTTCTATATCGTTTTAAATAATTTGCTTAAATGAGTCAGTTGAGGTCAGTTACATAAAAAATCTCATTAATGAAATTGACAAAAAGTAGGGGCCCTAGTATGGAGCCTTGATGTACGTCAGATGCTGGTCTGGGTAGGCAGTTCGCAGAGTAGTTGTTTCCTGCAATATCGACAACTACCAGAGACCTTACTAAACTCAGTCAGATAACATCTAACATACTCTTCTGCATCAAGATGTCTTAAAATTCTTTGAGTTATTAAAAAAAAAACAGTTTTAAATACGCGAATTCCAATTTTCAACTTAGTCTAATCTTCACCATTCTAATAGAATGTACTGAGCTTTGCTAAAATTCCAAACATATTATTTTCAAGATTATCTTGGAACATATTCCTAAACTGCTAATAGTGTAAGTGTACATTCATATCATAGGTGTCCACAAAAATACTCTACTCTTTCTAATGAAAAATAATTACTTCTCCTTTTAATTTCATACTTTCCTTTTTCTTGTGAGTTACAACTGATCGTAGCTGGCGCTTGACCCTTCCTTAGTCCCGCTAGGCGTCTCTCCCTGCCCCGCTCCCCTCTACGCTTACTTCCCCGTAGCAGTAGTGGAGGCAGCGTTCATCATCACTCGGTTTAACCCTTGACTGACAGGTGGGCCTGCCGCAGGTGTCCGGCGACGAGCAGCGCCGCCTTTGCGCCGACCAAAAGTACGGGGCCGTCGACACCCAGAGGATGGGCCTAGGCCTGTCCCTGACCACCTACGGCAGCGTGGCGTACCAGCTCAAGGACGCCAACCTGGAGGCAACAGGAACCTGCGACTTTGTCTGCAAGGCTCTCAGCATCGTTAATAAGACTGGTGAGTAGTAGCGTGATTTTAAAAATTATGATGCAAAAGTGTAACAATGACAACTTTTACTTCACAAGAATATGTAAATTTACCTTTGGACCTAAAATATCGTGGTATTCTGGCAATATTAGAAATATTTAAGAAGTTTCAAACCATAAGTGACAAACTAACAGAATTATAGAATTTATATATTTAAATTTATAGAACCATATTGACTTTTATAGTTACTGAGCATGCGCATTAAAGATAATTTCATGTAAACGAAGTAGCTTCGCAACAGGATACCATTCAGGAAAAGTTTGGTTATGGTTACGTGTATGTCAACTTTGTGATTTCTTGCTTTTTTCTCCTAAGTTTAGTAAAAATTTTTGATAGATTATCATGTCTAAAACATCAGTTGGTATGAGTGCAATTTTTGTGTACTTTGAAGAAAAGAAGCTCATCTAAAAGGGAGAAAATTCTGTTTCCTCTGGTTATGTGCAAAAAATGCTTTATGATGATGAAGAAGGAATAATTTACTAAAAAATATGTCTCCTGAAATAAAATTTTATTTGTTTCGAGATTTGCCCCGGATTCAAAACATCGACTTTATGCTTGTTTCTCGTGATAAGCCCATTTTATAACTGCTGTTGAGGGAACCATAAATATTATAATACGGTGATATATACGAACGTGAGGAATGGCGGAGGACTCAATAATATTTCGTTATTCAGTAAGAAAACGTTTTTTGTTCTTTTTATTCGTGTGTATCAACAGAGGTATAAAATCATCTACCCAACAGTCGTGAACGCTCGCAGACTTAATAAAAAACGATGGAAAACAACAGAACAGGGAAAATTTGCTAAGGGCTGGAGTAATGAAGGAAGGAATCACTGAGAGAATAAGAGATTTTAACTAGAAAATAAGAATTATGAAAGATTAATGAGAAATTTGGAGACAAAAATGTTTAATAGATGAATAAATAACAATTTAAAGAAGAATAAAAAATAAGTAATTGCAGAAGACCAACATAACGAAAATGAAAGCAGTTATAAATTTATTCGTATCACTGAATAGACTACAAGCCCATCGAAAATTTTCAAAGGGTCATTTGACCCAGCATGAATTACTTATAAATCAATACTGCCACATATAACATTAACTTTAGAAACTATGCCATCAATTCTTGTTGGTACAAGTGAGTAGACAGGTAAGCTAAACCTGTCCACCTATGGTTTTCGGCAAAACATTTTAAGTAATATGCCGTTAAAAAACCATAGGTCGATATAAAAATTATTCATTTTAATAATTTGAAAAGCTTATATATAATTTTTTTTTCACAAGTACATAAGTAAAATTTTTTCAAAATCTAAAAAATTATTATTAAAAAATAAATAAAAAATCTGCATGCAAATATTTTTTAAAAATTTGGAATTGTTTTTAATTTTTGCATAAATAAATTCTTCAAACAATTGTAACAGAAGTTGCAATTATGCAAATGCGAGGGTACAGTTACTTCAAAACATGCAATATTATATCACTGTTTTCAATGTAAGTATTTATATTATAGGAATTCTCATAAATATTTATTTAAAAATAATACTTTCTTGCACATCATTAAATTTCTAAATTTCTCAAAATTTTTTCTCGATTCCCTATACACATTTTTTTTTAACTGAAACACAATGCCATCATAATTTCTACGGTATAAATTAAATTTCTATTGAAATTAGGATAAAACTTACTTTGGACTTATACAATTTCGGAGAATTGTTCCAACGAATATGTACGGCATTGCAATTTTCATTCTTTATGTTATATTTCAGTTGACAATTTGTAAATGCCGTATAGTTATTAATGACGTAAAAGTGTAGTAAAAATTTAATGAAAAATATTATCAGCTATGCTAAAATCCACTAGTTAAAAATGTACGGCATTGTTTTTTTTTCTATTTTTTTACGAAATGAAAAATCAATTACAGCCATAATATTTTGAATATAACATTTTTAGTTTATAACAAGGAATTTTCAAAATATTGTAAATTTTCACAATTTATTTATTTGTTTTTTAATTTGAATTTTTAATTTGTACCATTAATTATAAACGGACATGATTTAGTACGATAGTTTTTGGTTATATTTTGTCAAAAAAGTGGTTGCCGTACAGGAATTAATGATCTTATCGAAAAAAAAATAAAACCCTATTCCAAAATACAAGTAATTGTTTATAAACTTTTGCATTAACCATAATTTTTAGACGACATAGTTGCTAAGAATTATTTGAAGAGTTAAATAATCATGTGGAATCGATGCCGTACATTTTTCAATGACTTGAAACAACAGGGGCTGAAATAGAGGGTTACGCCCTGTATTTCATTTTTATTTTTTTGTATAATCTATATACTTTAGAAATGCCGTACAAAAATGTTTTGCCGAAAACCATCCCCCCTTGGTGGACAGGTTTAGCTTACCTGTGTACTCACCTGTACCAACAAGGATTGACGGCATACTTTTTAAAGTTATTGTTATATGTGGTAGTATTGATTTATATGTAATTCATGCTGGGTCAAATGACCCCTTGAAAATTTCCGATGGGCTTGTAGTCTAGAATTAACGAGATAGGAGTTTCTACAGATCGTTTAGAAACTTAGAAATGACACTTATTCAGAAATTTAAAGATACAACACTGAATAATATAAACTGCAACATTCTTAAGTCGTCAAGAGGCCAACCTGGCAAAGCCAAGACAAAATATATCAGTACAACAATATGCATAATATTGCTTACATATGCAACGCGTATTAAGCAACACATTCCGGAAACGACTCCGGTTTCCGGGTATAACCCCAAACAACAAGCACTGTGACATACAATGTGCACTCGCGGGACACCACGGAATAACAAACGAGCAAACACAACAGCGCCCAACTCCAGAAAAGCCAACGTAAAATGGTCACGTACGCGAGGTGCGAGCGCTTCGCCGTAGCTGTGGTAAACGTCCTTGGCGAATTATGTGGATCTGGCTGGAACAAACACTACCCCCCTACGTGTTTATAGTCGGCGGTTCCGTTGTTGCATAACACAAATTTATGTTATGCATCCTACTACAAGTGGTGCAAATTTGCATAATGGTAGGTACAACACGGGCCGACAAAATTAAATGTAAATATTTATGACACGGTGAAGGAAATAGTTTGAGAACGATGCGTTTAGATTTACTCCAATCTTTACATAAAAACGTAAAACGCATGTAATTAATTGTTAGTTTCTCTCGATGGAGAAGTATGTGTTAGTGCATTGGCAACAAATCAACTAAAGATTTACACACTTGAGAAAGAAACAAATCTTTATTTTAAGTGTAAATTGTGGAGGTAAAAGAAAAACGCCTCATGTTATTACGCTGACTGCAATGTCAGTTCAGTAATCAAAGATTAGTGTAGAAAGTGTAGTAAATAGTGCAGTTGAAATGAAAACACCTTAGCAGTATCAGTAGTGTAGCCGTAGCCAAAGAATTAATGTAAAAAGTGTAAGTAGAGAAGGTGAATGAAAAACAAATAAGGTTAGTGCACTGATTGCAGTGTTAATTCAGTGGCCAAAGATTTACACAACTGCGATGGAAATTAATTAGTGTAGAAAGTGTTATAAATAGGAGTTAAAGTGAAAATATCTGATGTTAGTGCACTGACAGCAATAGCAATAGTGTAGCTAAAGATTTACACACTTGTGAAAGCAGCGAGTTGAAGCAGAAAGTGTAAATAGTGGAGGTAAAAAAAATAATATCAGGTTTCACTGATTGCAGTGCCAATTCAGTGGTAAAAGATTTACACACGTGCAAAGGAAGTTAATTAGTGTCGAAAATGTAATAAATAGGAACTGAAGTGAAAATATCTGATGATAATGAACTGACAGCAATACCAATAGTGTAGCCAAAGATTTATATACTTGCGAAAGCAGCGAGTTGATGTAGAAAGTCGAAATAGTGGAGGTAAAGAAAAAAATATCAGATTTCACTGATTGCAATGTCAATTCAGTGGTAAAAGATTTACACAACTGCGATGGAAATTAATTAGTGTAGAAAATGTAATAAATATGAGTTAAAGTGAAAACACCTGATGTCAGCGCACTGACAGCAATATCAATAGTGTAGCTAAAGATGTACACACTTGTGAAAGCAGCGAGTTGAAGCAGAAAATGTAAATAGTGGAGGTAGAGGAAAAAATATCAAGTTTCACTGATTGCAATGTCAATTCATTGGTCAAATATTTAGACACCTGCAAAGGAAGTTAGGTAGAAAGTGTAACAAATAATTGAAGAGAAAATGCTAGATATTGGCTTTTTATTGTCACTATCGATGTATGTTGTTCTGTTCAGCAGCATCAGAATCTACAGCGACCAAAGATTGAAAACAGAAATTTTAAGATCCGCAACTACCATTTTTCTATTTGAAATAAGATTGTTTTCATATTGGAATGAATAGTGAGAACTTCATCTTGTTATCATATAAACTTTCGAATATGTTTGGTATTTTCGCAAACTTTTAATTTTTTAATTTTTTTTTATTAAAAAAAATGTTCTTAGACAACAAATTTAATTTGTATTTACTAATTTTATAATATTTTCGGCTAAATATAGATATAGTAATCTATTAAAATGTACATGTATCTAAATTCAACTTAATTTGAGTTGAGAGAAATGAAAACATAAAGAGAAAAATCTTACGTCGAAACTACCACCATCAATATTATTTCAATACCTATGTTTTCATGCATTATATATACAGGGTGGAAAGTTGAGTTAAATTGTTCAAGTAATAACTTGGATATTGCCAAATTATCTACAAAAATTCTTTCATTAAGGTGATTCTAGATTTTATTAAAAAAATTTGTAGATTTTTCACTTTTTATAGCATATCCCGAAAAACTCTGTTTTTTATGTTTAACCGTAACTGACTGTACTTTGATAAGAATTTAAAAAAAAAATATGCAATAGTAAATGATATCAAACAACGTATGTTTTCTGTCAAACGACAATGTAAGAATGACATATTTATGAATATTATTCTGTAGCATGTTACAGCGACTGTAAGGGAAGACCTTCAACCTTTATATTTTTTTTCACTAAATATCAATAATATTGTGAAAAGTATCAATCAGATTTACTTAAAATGTCACAGAAAACCAAACGTTACGCTTATTTCTTGTAATATTTATAAGTAAATTACAAAATAATAGGATTAGTCGCAGAAGTGTGACCTAGAGGTACACCCTATATAAAAAGTTCGCAATTATAATCTGTCAACACGGAAAGCGATACCTTATCAAGCAATTAACTTTTTATTTCTTTTCCAGTTGTAGTTACAATCGTGTTGGTGTGCTTGTCCGTTCTACCTCTCATAATGCTTATCATGGGTAAGTCTACTAGCGTGTGTGTGGATTATATTGCATGTGCGTGTCGCATGCCACCCTTCCTTTTCACTTTAACACTGGACGTATTAGTAATTTACGCACCGGACCTACGCTATTCATCGGGAAGTAAATGGACGTATTGGAATTTTTTCCAGCCCCACGCAGTCAGGGAAATATATGGTATGGTCGATTGGTTACAAAGAAATGAATTTTTGTGGTTGCACGGTATTAATTCGGATTGATTCCTTAATGAGGCGCGGTTTATTGATTGTATCTTTGGAGCATTATAAAGAGTCTTTAAAAGTACAACAAAAAAATTTTAAACATCGCGTAATAAACAGAAGTTATTTATAAATAACATTATTTTAACAAAACATTATAACATTGTATAACATTGAACTAAAGTATTGTTTTTAATGAAATCTTCCAGATGCCGCATATACATATTTTTATGTAATAAGTAACGAATGTAGATATTTCGTGGTGTACAAAATTTAATATGCAGCTTATAGCTCGTACAACGAGATTATAGTATAACTTTTATTTTGTTTTCCCATTTAATTCCCGACAAAACAAGATGAAAGTTGCTTCATACGCGAGAACTGCAGTTTTTAATTACAGCACCGAGTATTTTAGCGTCCGCAAACGTCATTAAAAAGTTAGAATAATAGCGTGCAATAAAATGTGTTACGTGAATTTTTACGTTAATGAATCGTCGTTAAGATTTTGGAATAAAGCCGTTGCTGTAGCGTTGAAGCTATGAAGCAATTTTTTCATTTCGTAATAATCAACACGTACAGAGTATAGTCCACCGGCCCATGTACAAATAAAAAAATGATTACCAGCAAGCTGTAACTTTGCGTGCAGCTTAAGTTTGACGAGTCTCCCAAGATTTGACTACGAGGAAAATTCAACAGTGGTAAGTTTTCCCGTGATTTTCAGGAAAACATGTCAATCTGGCATAAACATGGAATGTTATGACCAGCACTTTTTTAACTTTAAATGAAAGATATATATTTTTTAAACCCCCCAAAAAATTTGTCCGACAAAAATTTTGGCATTTTGAGTTTGTTTGTCCCCCATCCCAAATATGTCGATTTGGTGACATTATGGTTGGTGACAACCAGCAAACTGATTTCTCTGGGAGGGTTTGGTAATAAAATTTGAAATGAAAGTATCTTATTGTCCGACAAAATTCTTGAAAAGTTTTTGCAGTTCGACGCCCCGAATATGTCGATTTAACGACAACATGGTTGGTGGTAACCAGATGTCGGACAAAAGCGTCATTATTTAAAAAAATGCAATATTAATCTGATAATTTAATTGTCCGACAAAATTATCGTTTTTTTGCTTGTCCGACAAAATTAAACGATAAAATTTTGCGGTTTCAATACTTACACATGATGTAGAAGAAAAATTTATATTTAATAAAAAAATATATGAATAAAAAAAATTTGTTTAAATTTCTCAAATTTCGAAATAAATATGACTAATTTAAATTCATTTTTTTATACAATTACAAAAAAGTTGTATATATGCAATATCTGAACATTTAGAAAATTAATTAACACAACTAAAATTGCTGCATTTCAATTGTACCTTGTTAAGTGGATAATGCAGAATAATATTGTTGAAACCGAATAGTAAATATTAAAAATTGTTAATTAATTTGTTATAAACTTATTGATCCATTTTTTTTTACTTTTCACTTTTTCCTCTTGATTTATCATTTCCACAATTACACAAACAAAACACTCCATGATTTACGAAATTTTTATCACGAGGCATGCACGAGACGTGAACCATGTCGAAATTCTTTTTCGGAGAACACTCACTTTCAACTTATGTGTAAATGCATGCGTCTATGTGTGTGTGCACTTACCTGCGATGGGTAACGTACCATTACCATGTTGGATTCCTTGAGAAAAGAAATAGGGAGAACGCGCGGTGGATTCAAAATATTTTTAAAATTGGTTTAATTGGTTTTTCAAGAACAATACTATGCGTAAACTGTTTGTCAAAACAAGACTGCACATTTTAATTTAAAAAAACACAAGCAAAAATTTATGCATTAATTTTACTGTTACCATTTTTTATAAAATAGTTACAAAAGTTTATAAAATAAAATGTACATATTAGTTTTTTGCACAAAGAAATCATTTTGATGGAGATTAATTAAATTAATTTTTATAGACATAATTATTTATGAATTTCTGTTAACAAGATAATTTCCTTATTTATTGTTCTTTATTTTTTCATTAAAAAATTAATTATTTTATAGCGGAATGAACATTGGGTACCACAAAAATAGTTATTTTTTCCATTTTTAAGGCAAATTTTCCAATCTTTTTGGCGGACAAGTATATTATTGTGTTATACATTTCAATTATTAGAGAAAAAAAAATCAAAACCAGATTGCTGGTTATCACCAACCATGTTGTCGTTAAATCGACATCTTCGGGGCGTCGGACTGCAAAAACTTCTCAAGAATTTTGTGGGACAATAAGATACTTTCATTTCAAATCTTATTACCAAACCCTCTCAGAAAAATCAGCTTGCTAGTTGTTGGTTGTCACCAACCATAATATCACCAAATCGACATATTTGGGGTGGGAGACAAACTCAAAATGCCAAAATCTTTGTGGGACAAATTTTTGGGGGGGTTTAAAAAAAATATATGTAACTTTCATTTAAAGTTAAAAAAAAGTGCTGGTCATAACATTCCATGTTTAAGCCAGATTGACATGTTTTCCTGAAAATCACGGGAAAAAACTTACCACTATTGAATTTTCCTCGTAGTTAAATCTTGGGAGACTCGTCAAACTTAAGCTGCACGCAAAGTTACAGCTTGCTGGTAATCATATTTTTTTTTGTACGTGGGCCCGTAGACTACTAATAGTGCAAGTTGAAAACAATGTACCTCTAAGTTTAGTTGTTATTTTGGGACAAAGTACGAGTATAATGAAGCCTTTAAACGAAATTTTATACTATGTTTAGCATATACATAACGCTGACATACCTACTTCTTTTCATACTTAATTCATGGTTGTACCCTTCGCTTTATACAGGACATTAGTAGGTCCTATTCCTAAATTTAATATAAACTTCTCTTTTTCTTACTAAAAGAAATTACAACTTTTTGGGCTAAAGTAACAAAACCTAATAAAATATGACGAAATAAAAACTTTTCGCTCTATTTTACTTGGGTAATTAACGAAAATTTTATTATCTAATAACTTTTCCTGATATAATCAAACAATTCGTCTACTCAAGAAAAAATTCTACTACTACTTTCACCATAAACTACAGCTTTATCACACAAACAAAAAAAACATAAAAAAATTGCCTAAAACAATTTTATATACAGGGTGATTTACAAATGGCGACCAAAAATGAAATCTCGTATTGGTGAATTGTAAGGGGATTCTTTCCTATAAAGTTTTTATCTGCGACGCTTTATTAAAAATATACAGGGTGTTAATCTTAAAAATAAAAAAAAAAATTTTTAAATAATTTAAAAACTAGTTAGTAATAACCATTTAAGGTCAGAGAATTGAAAGACTATGGTAACATTTCAGATGAATTTATTATTCAATCTCCCACCCCTCAGTTCCTCCCCCAAATCAGGGGATGATAAAAACAGCTCCTGAAAAGGAGTTTTTTGTTTTAGTGATGCTTTTATTCGTGTTCAGCGACGACAAAAACCTTTTATGCATATTTTATTTAATTTTCATTGTCCCACACCCTAACCGTGAGGGGTGGAAATATATTTTTTAAAATTTTAAAATTTTGTTAATCGCGTATTCGTATTCGACTCATTTTCCCTATCTTCCCTTAAAATTAATGACATTGTGATTTAATCATCCTGTATACAAGTATATAAGGTAAACTTACAACTAGTATTTTACGAACATTAAAAAAAAATAAATATGATTATGAAAAATATATATTTTTATTGAATGCCCTTCGAATTACCTAAGTAAATAATGGGTATGAGAAATTATGAGAAAATAATTAGGTTATATTAAAAATTAATGTACATAAATCTATGATATAACTAATAAGTCAACTTTTTCAAAGTTATTGTTGTTCAACATGCAAAGGAAGGAAAAAATATGTAATTACTTGCCGGAGTCTTTTAAACGTGATATTTACTTTGTGATGTAGATCTTTAGGTAAAAAAAGGAATGCTCCGCACGCTATTATCAACGTCTTCATTTTAGTACTTGAAAAACAGTAAATTAATTATTAAAACGTATTATACACTATAGTCTGTTTGGAAATGAGAGAGAGTAATAAAACCCCGAGATAAGAACCGGCCATGGGCGTGGTAATATTTCGTTTCAGGTAATTATCGGGTAACACTAATGCTAACAAAAATGACAGGGATTGGAAAATCAACTATCTACAGACTTTTAAAGGAAACAAAAAATGAACAAGATACTGTAAATCCCCCAAAATCATCTACAGGGAGGTCAAAAGTCGTTATAGATGATTTCTTCAAAAATGTCATTCGCAGAAAAGTACACTCATTTTATTTTAAAAAAGAAATACCAACGCTAAACAAAATTTTAAGTGAACTTTCAGAGGACAACGATTTGCCAAAAATCAGTAGAAGCAAATTATGGGCCGTCTTACGAGAGTTGAATTTTTGCTGGGAAAAGCAGAACAGGAAGTCAGTTCTTATCGATAAAGATGAAATTATTTGTTGGCGAAGATCCTACTTAAGATCAATTAGAAAATTCCGTGACGAAGGGAGGAATATTTATTATCTAGACGAAACTTGGGTCAACGAGGGATATACTGTAACAAAAGTATGGCAAGATAAAAATGTAAAAAGTTTTCGACAAGCATTTTTGGATGGACTTTCAACAGGGTTCAAGGCACCTTCAGGTAAAGGGCGAAGATTAATAGTGACACATATAGGTAGTGCCAGTGGTTTTGTAGATGGCGGTTTACTTTTATTTGAATCTAAAAATACAGGTGACTATCACGAAGACATG